GAGAGAGAGAGAGAGAGAGAGAGAGAGGGAGGGAAGGAGGGAGAGAGAGAGAGAAAGAGTGAGTTATCTTTTTACTGTTGGTTAATAACCGTATTTAATCCTGCATTTTTTAAGTGCGAAATATCAAGCATTCACAGAGTTTTAAAAAGGGTGATACAAATATGGCCATTCTTCTTCTTCTTCTTCTTCTTCTTCTTCTTCTTCTTCTTATTCTTCTTCTTCTTCTTCTTCTTCTTCTTCTTCTTCTTCTTCAGCTTCTTCTTCTAAACAACATTGACTGCCTTATTTTAAAAAAAAGCATCGAATTCTTAGACACTGCACCTTCTGTCTAAGCTCCCACTTCTTCGGTTCCCCCCCCCCCAGATAACTTTAATACAAAGTAATATTATCCGCATAAGATGACAGATTAGGGGCCAAAGTTCACTGATAAGGACGTCAATATTATTGTGTGCGCCTGCTACAGTGCATCGCTTTTCAATTGGCATATTTCAAAGCTTCTGATTGGCTGAGACAACTGGTAAACAGGAGGCAGTAGTGGAAGTCGTTCACGACAACAACCTCTGACAGCGATCGTAAATGCCTTGGACATAATCATGTTTCCAGCGTCAACATATTCTATCTGCATAGCATCGTTCTTGAATTTTAATGCGCTGGCTCTGGGGGTATTGGTAATTCTCTGTGAGGTCGTGTCCGGGTTCCGCACGGATCAAGTTCCGAAAGTTCCGAAAGTTCAAGGCCGCGAGCAGGATGTCAACTGAAAAGTATCAGGTAGATGTTGTCACGGAGCATACTTCCGTGTGTTCAAGAACGGTTTCCCCGGGAAATCAGAAGGAAATTTGTGCTCCTGTTTTTGCTGCTTGTGTTATTGTTGTAGTTTTGTTTGTGTAGCTGATGGGTATGCGAGGAAACGGAGTCAGTGATTCGTCTGTTGTGCCAATCAGCGACCTCCGGAAAAGTCCTGTTGTTGTTGTTGTTGTTGTTGTTGTTGTTGTTGTTCTTCTTCTTCTTCTTCTTCTTCTTCTTCTTCTTCTTCTTCTTCTTCTTCTTCCAAATTTTACTGCTGCTGTTGATTTAAAATATAGCAATGAATAATTTGAATTTAAAGAAAACAACAAACTTTTATCAAAGATCTCACAATATTTAAAGAGCACCCTTTCTGGAGTATTGTTGTTGTTGTTGTTGTTGTTGTTGTTGTTGTTGTTGTTGTTGTTGTTTTTTTTTTTTTTGGGGGGGGGTTGCAAGTTGAACGCCATGTATGAAAGTTTCAAGTCGCGTGAAAAGAGAAAACCCCCCCAAATAAACAGAATAATGCAGACAACATTTTTTGATATTGTGCTAACATACAGAAAACCCGTTTTTGACTTTTCTTCAATCTGCTCCTAAATATGCAGGCCTACAGTTCACTGTACAGTCGAAATTGTCCAAGACGGCCACCCATTGTTGAGGAGAGTCGTGGTTGTCATAGACAGGTGGACGCCTACAACAGTATCGCTTTGGTATTTAAAGGAACTGGTTGTTTGTACAGTTGTTTGCCTTAGACAGGTAGCCGTTACCATAAAAGGCTACTTCATGATAAAGTCTTTCTTTGAGGTTTTTTATTAAGTAGGTATAAATATGCAGACGCGCGTGAAATAAAGACGATAAATATGTAAATAGATTCCTGTTTTGAATTTTTTTTTTTAAATAGTGGAAGTTGTTATCGGCAACCTTATTTTTCCAAAACGGAAGTGTTTTCACCTATTTCAACAGGAAACTGGGGAACGGATTTCGAATCTCAGACCTGTCCAGATTTTCTCGTCCTGCACCAGGAACATGCTTTCTGGCCTGAGTGTAGTTGGACTTGTGTAAGACGGCCCATGCCATTGTTGTGGCGGAACGTGGTCGTTTTAGACAAGTGGTGTAAGATAGGTGGTGTTTTAGACAAGTGGTCGTTTTAGACAAGTGGCCGTTTTAGATTGGTGGTGTTTTAGACAAGTGGTCGTTTGAGATAGGTGGTATTTCAGACAAGTGGTCGTTTTAGATAGGTGATGTTTTAGATAGGTGGTGTTTTAGACAAGTGGTCGTTTTAGACAAGTGGTCGTTTTAGATAGGTGGTCGTTTTAGACAAGTGGTCGTTTTAGATAGGTGGTGTTTTAGAAAGTGGTCGTTTTAGACAAGTGGTCGTTTTAGATAGGTGGTCGTTTTAGACAAGTGGTCGTTTTAGATAGGTGGTGTTTTAGACAAGTGGTCGTTTTAGACAAGTGGTCGTTTTAGATTGGTGGTGTTTTAGACAAGTGGTCGTTTGAGATAGGTGGTATTTCAGACAAGTGGTCGTTTTAGATAGGTGATGTTTTAGATAGGTGGTGTTTCAGACAAGTGGTCGTTTTAGATAGGTGATGTTTTAGATAGGTGG